AATTCCATTAGGGGCTGCCTCTCGCTCAGCCCTGTCAACCAGGAATCCTCCGTCTTTCCCACACAAATCCCTGAGGTGGCTGAGCCAGCACAACCCTGGGAGGATACACACACACACACACACACACACACACGTGTGTGCACACACACCCCTCCTACATCCAGGTGTGCGGGGTTCCTGCTCCCAGCAGCTCAGCTCAACTCCACCAAAAAAAATACAATAAATAAATAAATAAATAAAAACCCCAGGCTGGCAGACCTGAGGGGAAGGTTGTAACTTGGATGACCTCCTGCAAAAGTTGTGGCTGCTTGAGGGAACCCAAATTTCGGGGAGGACTGCGCTCTGGGAGGCGGCACAGTCTGCCACGGGCACCGCTGCGCCGCCGTAATGATGGGAGCGGAGCTTGGCTGGGGATTTTGGCTGGCACAGACATAATCCTGCTCCTCTCCCTCACCAGACCCGGCGCTGGGTGCGATGGGGGTGGTGGAGCAGCAGGTACACGCCTGGGAGCGGGCACGAAGCAGGATTTGGGTGTTAAAAGGCACCGGGTGCGGTTCTGCCGGAGACACCCGGGGAAACGGGGCAGGTCAGAAATTGGGGAAAATCTCTCACCCGGGACACGGTCCCGGCAGAGCTGGCGGGACGGGATTTACCCCTCACACTCCGATGGTCCGATGAACATCTGCAGAACATCTGCTCCCCCAGACCCAGCTGTGCAAGGGCAAGGGGGAGGTGGTGGCCTCGCTGACCCATGTCCCCAGCAGCTGCAGAGCCACAGGGAAACACTCCATCACTCACTCGGGGCAGAAAAAGCCCCAAATGGGTGCTCGGCTCCAGCTGCTGCCCCTCACCCCACGCGGGTGCCTGCTGTGCCACCACCCTCCACCTCGTTAACCAACGCTGCCTCACCGCTTCCTACCGGTTTCCCATCTGCTGCTCTCCATCCCAAGTTTTCTCCTATTAGAATGCACATTTTTGGGGGACAGAGGCTGGTTTTCAGTATTTTTGGATTGCAGGTTGGGATGCCCAGACTTGATGGTGACAAAAATAACGATGGGAGCTATTGATTTCAACGAAGATATTCCTCCTGTAAGAAAGAGAAGGAGCAGCTCGGATCTCTCCGAGACAAGACCTACATTCTGCAAAAGATGGAAATTAAGGATCTTTTTACCGTGGACGGAGGTGCTACGTGGAATTAAGGTTCAGACCGATGCCATATGTATTATGCCCACAATCCATGTTCCTTCTTGATTTTGCGATATAGCAATGTTTAATTGCCATTAATGTAAACATATTTTAAAAGGTTATTTTCCTGTTCCGTAGGTCAATGGACCTAATGAAGCAGCTCTAAGTGGGTTTGAATTGCTTTGATTAGGTGCTTGATTTCCTGTTTACCTCGGGGAAGTGGGTTTGGTCCTGCACGACTAACGTATATAAAAGCCCTGAAGGGTCTCCTCCTCACTCAGAACAGGCTGAAATCCTCCAGGCAGCTCCAGAGAAAGGTAAGAACCTCTATGTCAGTCTCTCTTTCTAAATTTGTAAGACCTTTTTTATTAAGCTAGCAGCAGGAGCGAGCCAGTGCCAGGCAGTAGCCGCAGCAGAGCGGGACCAGCCCATGCCTTTGGCTGAGTTTTTTCCCAAAGTGGTACAAAACTGGCCATTTTCTTGGTAGCTTTGGCAGAAAAAAGCTCAGCAGCGTTATGTGTTGGGTTCTAAAGGGAAAGGCTGCTATTTTGGAGAAGGATTCAGCACATGGCAAGTGTCAGGTTGGGACCTGCACCTACACAGGGAAACGAGGATAAATTGGTTCTTAGGTGCTTTTTGGGACCTCCCAGCTATGGCTAAAACAGGGATAATGCTTTTTCCAAAGCAGAGAGTCTTGCACAGGGGCTGGAAGACCTTTGTGGGGCAAAGATCCCACCAGCTGCTCATTCTTTTGTGAAGAAGTTAAATCATAGGATCAAAAGAGTATTGGTATCACAAAACTCGGTGCCAGACAGGGTGAGCTGAGCTCGACTGCTCCACGTCGGCGTCACACAGCCAAAGGGGTCTTGTATTAACTCAAAAGTGGTTTTTCAATAGTCTCTGAAGTCATAGAGTGCTTTTCCTCCCTCTTTGGGTAAATTCTGCGGAGGAGGAGTACTGTCCTTTCTCAAAATTAAGGCTACAACATATTTCCTCTCGTAGCATCATAAATAATTACCTTAAACAGAACCATATTCTTGCACAACTTACCTATTTTCAGATCCATCACTGTACCCATAGTTATATCACCAATATATGAAATAAAAAAAAAGGGAAAAGCTCGGTTATCTAACCATGGCTTTTTTATTATTATTATCACAGTTATAGCACCAATATATGAAATAAAAAAAAGGGGAAAGCTCAGTTCTCTAACCATGGCTTTTTTATTATTATTATCACTTTACTCCTCAGCATTTTGTATAATGGAATTTACTTCTGCTGTTAACACACCCTGTAACTATTTGTCTTGTGTTGCTTTAGCTCTAAGTATTTTAGGGATTTTGCCAGCATTCAGAATATCACACCTTTACTTTTAAGAGCATTCTGCAGAACTTGATGCAGCTGAGATAATGCAACACATTTAGTATTTCTCTCACTTAATAGGAAGGGCTGAAAACATTTGTAAAAGCTGTCACAATTTTCCAGAAATAAAATTTTAAAAAAAATGCCACAATTACGAACAACATCCAAACTTGCAAATTCTCGCTCTCTCCAGAACAATAATTGGGCTGTTGTAAGAGTAAAAATAACTACTCAGAGGAGTAAAGTAGTACAGACATCAGTGTATGAATACGTTTTTGAAGGATGGGATACTTGAATCCTGACCTAGACCTTTCCTTTTCGTTACTATTCGATTCCTGTTAACAGCAGCTCTCCGTTGCAATGCAGTTTCCAGAAATATCTATAACAAAGAGTGAGGTGAGGGACAACAAAACGTACCCGTGAGCCATGATCAAAACCGTTTTTGCACGGAGTTTGCAGAGCTGGAATAGTAATTAAAAGAGCTCAAATGTCCAAGGGCTGTTGAGCCGAACCGTGGACGTGAGGACTAGGAACAGCTTGAAACTAATAAATCTTGGAATCCCATCCTGTCACTGTCCGTGGGATATTTTTCATAACTCAGAGTCGCTGACTCTGGCTCCGGTCCCTACATCAGGCATTATCCATCCCAACGGAAAATCTCCCCAGAAATTAGATCAGGCTCCCAAGTCCTGGGACAGGCAGGACGCCATCGCTGCCGAATTGCCCGATCCACCGTCCCTTCCCCGTTCACATGCTCCAGACTGAATCGACCCTTAAAGCACAATGAGGTACCCACAGGGTCAGCTTGTAAACACGGGGCAAGACAAAGCCCTTGCCTCCAGGAATGCGCGACCCACAATGAATTTGATGGTTACAATAAAAGTATAGGGAACGAACATTAAAAGCCACCACGGTGGGAAAGAGCGTGGGCTTTGAAAAAGTAATTTAACTGGGACCGGCAGAAGAGGGCTTTGTGGGATGGAGGAGGCTGCTGGAAGCACGAGGGCTGAAGAAACACATTTACAAGCAGAGGCGCGTGCCCAACCACCGCACGTCCCTCCGGGCTCACTGTCCTCTCACTCGTGTGTCCCATGTGCTACAGGGGCCGGACGTCTGGATCTCCCTCTGCTTTGGAACAGAGAAACCAGCCAAGAGAATGATATCTTTCAAAGTTCTCCCTCTGCTCCTCGCTTCTCTGGGCTTTGTTTTGATGGAAGAAAACGTCTCAGGGTAAGCGTTTTGGAAAGCTCACGGTGTATTTTGAGCCTTTTCCAGCTCCCCACTGGAGGTAAATGGACTTCTTCCATTGGCATCTTGATAAGTAAGTGAGAACATGAGTCCTGAGGTAGATCTCAGATAATAGAGACAGACGAGCGTATAGAGATGAGCAAATGATAAGAGAGATAGCAAACTAAAGCCCTGAGCCTTTGAGCCAGAGCCAAGAACTCCCAAGTTTTCCCTACAAATTTCATGGCTCTGGGTTAGAAGGAACAAGCTGGAAGTCAACCAGGAAGAGAAGGTGGTTGGCTGAGAACTAGAAACGAGATGTAATCATCTCACATGAAGGAGGTGAGGGGGCATCCAGTCTCTGGAAGCTTCTGAAAATACGACCAGTTACAAAAAGCAGGTATACGATAAAGACCTTCCCTCTCTTTCCTTGACTCCTGCTGCAAAATTTCCAACTACCACCTAAGAATAACCAAAAGAATCCTTATTAGAGCAGTAGGAGCTGCTGCAATACCAGCTAAAAAAGGATCAGCCTTGAAATCTTTTGCTAACTTAGGTAGCCACTGTCAGGTTAGCGCCGGTCTCCAGGTCAGCCCTTGTCTCCTGACATGGTACTAAAAAAGGATCAGCCTTGAAATCTTTTGCTAACTTAGGTAGCCACTGTCAGGTTAGCGCCGGTCTCCAGGTCAGCCCTTGTCTCCTGACATCCATCCTGAGCCTCTCCAGGACAGAGGAGAAGGTTTCCTTGGCCCCAGGTGTCAAAGTCCCTGGAGGACTGGACTCCCCTGAGCACTCTTGGTGCCTTAGCTCAGAGCCAGAGTCCATGCGATTTGGGCTACAGTAGAAAAAAACTGCACTGCCTCCAGATTATGGGCAAATATCCCGAGCTCATCTCCTCCCGAGCTCCCAAATTCGCGCTGCAATTGCGTGAGCAGCCAGCAGAAAGGATGAGGAGCACGTTAGCCCCTTCCCCGGCCACCTCCTCCCGCCACAATGCAGGCATGGCCACCTGAACCAGGAGAGATTGAAAGCCATCCCCAAACCTTGTTGGTGACCGCTGGGACGATGGCGTGGGCCACCACGTGTGACCCAAACGAAACTCGGCACGGCGTGTGCCCCGGGGCTCACCCTGCCTCTGTCCTCTCACCCCCAGCGTAAGCCTCAGGGCTCCCAGTGTCAGACCAGTGCAAAGACGCTACTCTGAGGCCACCCTGGCGAGCGACTACAGCCGCACGATGGACAACATGCTGAAGAAGAACTTCGTGGAGTGGTTGCTAGCCAGGCGGGAGAAGAAAAGCGAGTAAGTGCGTAGACTCTCAGTGCTCCTCCGGTCCAAACTCACAGCTGTCGTCAGCCAACTGATGGCTACAGAAGAATGTAGAGCCGAGGATATTTTTCTTGGACAGCAGCAGTGAGTCTCTATGGAGTTGGTTTTCTTTTTTTTTTTTTTTCTTTTATTTTTCTAAGTCCTAGAAACGTTTCTGGTCTGTCGGCACACAGCACAACGCTCCCTCTCCCCGGCCGCCTTCTCTGGCCGATGGTAGAAGGAGCGGGAGGGAGTTGGGTTTTGCGGAAAAGCAGGATTTGGGCACCCTCTTGTGGCATTTGGGGCTGATCTTTTCCCATTTCTCCTTTCCAGCAACATCATCGAGCCGTACAAGAGGGAAGCCGAGCCCCAAGAATCAGCTGCGAACGGCCAAAGATTGGACCTGGACACCCAGGAAGCCAAAGACTTCTTCGCCTGGCTTCTGAAAGCCAAGAAAAACCCCAGGTGAGCCGGGAGAAGAGAAAGAGGGAAATCTGGTGGCAGGGAGGGATGAGGACCCCGAGGGTTTTAACTTTCGCAGGAATGTTTTGGGGCAGGTACCAATGGTAACGGTGCCACGTAGGAAAATGAGAGGATTTTGATTTCAAAAGGAAAAGTCACATTTTGTAATTCTGACTCACGAGTGAGGAAAAGAACAAAGACCAAAAAAAAACAAAAAAAAGCCTAATTATGAAATTTCTCAAAATATAGATTATTTGGGTCTTTTTTTTTTTGTTTTGGTTTGGTTTTGCAAATGTAAGCACAGCTTCATCAAAACCCAGCACTTTGATACGGTCAAAGCATGGATTTTTGACAGGGCTGAAGTGCATCCGCTCCCTAACACCCGGGAGCTCCCTAACAAACACCCCAACAGCTCCCTTCAAAACCCAGCGCTTTGATACAGTCAAAGCATGGATTTTTGAGGGCTGAAGCGCATCTGCTCCCTAACAAACACCCCAACAGCTCCCTGACAGAGAATCCCAAGTGAAATGCGTTGACCCAATCAAAACAAAGCCCCCTCGAAAGAAAACTCTCCAGTGAAAACCCAGGTGAAATTGATACATTTCTGCAAAACACTTTGATTTGATCAAACCAACCCACAGCTGGGGGGGGGAAACCAACCCCACTCCTTCACGGTCTCAGCACATTGACCAGTTCATTTTCTTTTAAAAAAGAAACAGAACAGTTCTTTCCTCCCATCACTGCTACAAGCTCTTAATACGAAAAGCCCATCATCTCAACGTGAAACCACAAAGGAGAGATGCCTCCTGACCCAGGAGGAATTTCCCAGTTTGTTTCTCCTCCGAGTGTTCCCAGTAAAGGGCGCAGATCGATTTTTTGGGGTTTTTAAAGACGTAATAATCTTAAAATTCATGACGATCAGGGTAACGACGGCGATAGGAGCCGGCTGGGAGCAGGTACCTCTGGGCAAGGTAAGCGGGTCCATCTGGAGCTCAGCTCGTGCCTCGGTTCCCCGAGCCATCTGGCCCAGAGCACACTCGGCGCGGCGGCTTTGTGCTGTGTCAGCACATCCACAGCCTGTCAATAGCCCACCCCACCTCCCCCAGCCTCAGCTTATGCCACAAATGTTCGAAAAGCAAATTAGACACATGAGTCCAGAGAAAAATCTGTTCTCGGGCACTTTTCTATATTTAAATTTATTTTTTTTTTAAAACCGCCCACAAATAAATGAGGGATGCGTTTCCTTCCTTGAACGTGAAGGGGATTTTACCAAACCTAACAGGTTGCTGCTGCTTTAGTCTTAAAATGGTGGCAAGAAGGGAAAAAAAAAAAAAAAAAAAAGGCACTTACCGCACACAGCCCACATCCTTCGGGCACAATCCTAGTGTCTTCTGGGCAAAAAAAATGGAATTTCTAACTGCAGGGAGGGATGGGACAGTCACCCAGAACGAGAATCTGGGGGCATTTGTTGTCTTTTACAGCCTTTGCATGAAAACTGCTTTAGAACCCGGGGTGCGGGGGCTGACCCGGGGTGGGGGAAATGAGCACAGCCACGGTTCACAGAGGTGTCTCGGGCCGAGCGCTCAGAAAATCAGACACCGAGAATTGCCTGTCGTCCCAAAAATACCCAATCAAAGAAAACGAGGGCTTTGAGGGATCTGAGGAGGTCACTGGGTCTGACCTCTGCTCCCAGGCAGGATCAGCGCGCCCCAAACCGCTCCCGACAGATGTTTGTCTAACCTGTTCTGGGGGGGAGTGAAGCAGGGAAGGGAAACCTTTGATGCTAACGATTAATCAGCTTGATTAGCTTCATTTTTAATTTTTTTTCTTCCCTAGTGTTTCCTTTAATCTCCTTAATTGCAAATAAAAAATGCGACTTGTGGGAGAAAAGTCCTTCTTGGGAACAAAGGCTCCTCTTTGTGAGTTCGGTGCCGCTGCACCCACGCTCTGCCTCTCTTTGGGTGCCTGCTGGGTGCAAGAGGAGGTGGGGGTGCAGGGGGGTCACCCCACTCTTCCTTCTTTCCCCCCCCCCAAGCCTGACAGACAGGTTCAGAACGTGCCCACGCTCACTGTGGGGCAGCCCAAACACGCCGAGATCAGGCACTGGTGTGTGCAAGGAGCTCACCACGGCACAAAGGGGTTAAAAAAGGGGTTAAATGCTTTTTGTGGGTTTATCCGAGGCAGATATCAGATGATGAGGAAAATAAAATACCCCCATGAATTTGAGGGGACTGGGGTACGAGGCTGTTCTGTTCTGGCCTCGTTGCCTCCCCTCCGTCTTTACGATGTGACACTTTTCTTGCAGTTTTCCCTCTCTGGGAGGTTCAGAAGGTTTGAAGGACTTTGTGAACCAGGAGTTTCTGACATGGCTGATGTCGACCGATCTCTGCAGACCAACGTGAGTGGCTGCTCAAACCATTCCCGTAGCTACAAGCGTCCCTACAGGGCTCCTTGTCCCCAGATGTACTTGCTGCAGGGCTCAGTCTGTGAATTTAGGATTTCTTGAGATAACCACCCAGTGCTCACATGGCGCAGCTCTGCTGGGCTTGACTGGGGAGTTAAGAGCTTTGGCCAGAGTCTCAGAGCTCTCAGAGCTCAAACTTGTATATAAGAAGTTCCATCTAAACATGAGGAGGAACTTCTTCACTTTGAGGCTGGCAGAGCCCTGGCAGAGGCTGCCCAGGGAGGTGGTGGAGTCTCCTTCTCTGGAGACATTCAAACCCCACCTGGACACGTTCCTGTGGGACCTGCTCTGGGTGGCCCTGCTCTGGCAGGGGGTTGGAGGAGATGATCTCTAGAGGTCCCTGCCAACCCCATGGGATTCTGTGAAAGTCACCATCTATTAAAAAAGAAAAGAGCCGTTCCTGCTAGTGGCAAAGGCTGGCACAAGAACAAAAAGGGATGAACTGGCCACAAATAAATGTAGGTTGGAAACAAGAGGCCGCTCTGTGCTACAGACAATTCGTGCAGCTCGCTCAGACAATGCGAGGGCAGCGGCCAGCACAAACAAATGCCCGTTGAGCTTGCTCCCACCGCAGCCTCTCCTGCCAAGAAACACTTCTTTGCACCTCTCTCCTCTAACTGGTTGCTGATTTTTCTCCAAACTCGTAGGTATTTACCATTAGCTACTAACTCTGATACACGTCTCGCTATCAAAATGGATTTGTGAGGTATCGGAGGGGGCTGGAGGGTAGAGAAGACAATGACTTGTGCCTCGTTTCCTACAGAAACCAGATGAAAATGGGTTGAGTGCAGCAGCACAGGAATTTTATGTTTTTCTCTCCCCCTTGTGCTCTGCCAGGACTGAGTAACTCCAGGACCACCCCGAGGAGCTCCCTCCTCATCCCATCAAGGCACGTGAGAAGGAGGAAGGCGCCTTATATTCACTCTGTTCTGTGCATATTGTCTATTTTGCTAACGCAAGCAATAAAGAGTTTATTCTGACGCTGGAGTAAGAGTCAGACGAAGGCCCGATCCGGGGGTGGGCTGTGAGGCTGCCCCATCCCTGGGGGGGTTCAAGGGCAGGTTGGGGGGGGCTTGGAGCACCCTGCTCTGGTGGAGGTGTCCCTGCCCAGGGCAGGGGGTGGCAGTGGGGGGAGGTTTGAGGTCCCTTCCAACCAAACCATCCCGTGACTCCCCCTCCCTCCTCCTCCCCCCCCCAACTCGGGGCTCCGGGGGGGTGACACCTCCCATAGACAGGACCCAACCCGGGACTTACCTCCATCTGGGGGGGTCACCCTTACCGGAGCGGGGCTCCCCTCACCCCGGGGGAGCCAGAGCCCCCCTCCAGCAGAGTTAACCCCCCCCCTTCCACAGAGGGGACCCGCCCCCCCCAAACAGAGCTTCTCCCCACACCCTGGGGGGGTCAACCCCCAGCAGGGTCTCACCCCCCCCCTACAAACACCCCCTCGAGGGGCTTGTGGCCCCCCGGTGTCCCCCCCAGCCCCTCAGGGAGTGACCCGGGGACGGGCCGGACATCTTCCGCGCCCCCCCCCGCGTCAGCGCCGCCGGTCGCAGGGAGATGACGTCAGACGGAGCGCGGCG